TAGATTCGGGCCTTAAAAATCCGATACGATTTTTATAAATAACTCGACTCCAGCGCCATCTAGCGGATCTATTTTTCACATGCTTATTTCTCATCGCGGAGGTAGCACACGTTTTGAGTTTGAACGAAATCGGTTCATACATAGGACTTTTATAAATAGCTCGACCCCAGCGCCACCTAGCGAGTTTTCTAGGAGCCTATAATAGGTCCATATATGCAAGATATAACCTCTGAAAATTTCACTGAAATCTATGCAGTAGTTTTTGGGTTAACTCCGAACAACGAAAACGGCTATTATTTTATATATATAGATTTTATCCTTTTTTCATGTAAGAAGTGTACAGCATAAATTAAAAGAATGAAGTAGTAATGATAATAAAATAGAGTTATTTACATTTCAGTTGTTGTACACTTCAGTAAAAACAACGTTTTGCGTTTCATTTCCATTTCCGGGAATAAGAAAAGTTTGATTTTGTGATGAACCGATACGTGAAAGTGCCACATATAGTTGGACATGCGTAAACACTTCGTTACGGAGATCAATGCCGACAACGTTGAAGGTCTGCCCTTGGGACTTATTAATGGTAATGGAAAAACATGTCTTTCTGGAAACTGGACACGTTTAAACGTAAATGGCAAATCCGTTGGGATCATTGGTATCCTTGGAATCATCGTTATTTCTCCCGTTGCCGGACCGGTCAAAATTTTTGCCTTTATAAGATTGGGAAAAAACGTATGATTTGAAGACGCGTACCATTACACAACTCGGGTGGCTTAAGATTGCGTAAAAGGATTACGGGTGTTCCAGCTTTAAGTTTTAGCTCATGTGGAGGCATACCTGCGGGGTTTAAGGAGTTAAGAAACTCCACCGGGTAATGAACCACATTGTTGGGGTCTGTTAATGAATTTACAGACTTATAGAGTTTGTGTTCTGTTGAAATGCTGCTCAATACTGCTTCATTGATATCTTCTGCTGCCGAATTTTTCGAAGTGACAATTGCACGTTCGCAAAACCAATTGGAATTCATAATTTGTATGTTTGCAATGTTTGGATAAACATTATCAATAAGCTCATCAATACTTCTAACGCAGGTTCCTACGATATTCGACATGGTAACATACCCATTGCGAGTTATAGTTGCTGAACCGTTGCCTATTTGTAGAAGGTACTGAGCAAATACTTCAGAGCGGCTATTTACACTGAGCTACGCGCGCATGTTAACTGATAAATGCAATTTTTTTATATATGGCCAAACTTTCGAAGCTTTTAAGCAAGCATTAACGATATCAGCTCGTGTGCCTCTCGGAACCACAGGTAGTGTTTACCCAAAATCGCCTGTGAACACAAAACTAATTTCGCCCATTACCGCATCAGATGATCTCAATTCTTTAAGAGTTGTATCGACGGCATTAATATGAGATTTATGGGACATCGTACACTCGTCCCATATAATCAGTGATGCCTGCTGAAGAATCTTAGCAGCGGCACTATTTTTTTTATCGAACATGTGCACCTTTGTTCCGGTAAAATGCTGAGTGGTAGTTTGAAAGTGGAATGTGCAGTTCTTCCTCCACACAAAAGCGTGGCAGCAATTCCCGAGGACGCCACTGCGATTGCAATTTTATAAACAAAAATTTTTCAGGTAAAAGTGTCATCGTTTTTGAAATATTTACATTTTTTCGAATTTAAAAAAAAATCGTGTCTTTTCATGTGTTTTCTTTAACTGCAACTACAAACCGGGCAATACTTAGTAAATTTTTTATGTAAAATACTTCCAGATAGTTGCCTCTCCATACTCAAATGCAATGTAGTTAAAATATATTAAGGAACCATCATAAAATTAGGACTATTTTTTTAACTTTTTGATATTTTCTTCCCCAAATTTGACTATGTCTGGTGAAAAAAAAATGTACTGAGCTATAACTTTACATTACATAAAAAATTGTTCATTTGATAAAGATTTCCGAAAGGTGTCACTCTTACTATTTCGAATAGAAAAAAAAAGTTATAGCCGCTTTTGTGGGTGAAGGACTGAGACACGCTAGAATGTATTTAATAGATTTAAATTTAAGTTGGTCTTGTTACCGACCAATGACATGCTAAATAGTACAAAGGTACATTATTACTTGCTCCTGGCATTATTTTGTGTTACTTACCGGGATTCGGACTAGAGTCAATAACAAGGGCTATATCTATCAATATTTTTTGTGAAGGATGGGTTCACGTGAAATAGAATATACATGAGTTGTTTGAAGAAAAATTGATTCATTTATTGATAAAATATGCTCAAATTGGCGACCTTCTACTCTAATACAAGCTCGGCACCTTTTAAGAAAATACGCTTTTAGAGATCCTAAACTCAATTGGGCTATCTCAGCAGCAGCTCCATTTATTTGTTCCCGAAAATGCTCTTCGTTTTGAATTATTTTTGAATAAATTTTGTCCTTAAGACAGCCCCAGTAGAGAAAATCGAATGGATTCAGGTCTGGCGATCGAGCGGGCCGGGTGATTGGCCCGTATCGTCCAATCCATCGGCGAGGATAAGTTTCGTCTAAACGAGCTCTTATTTCACGCCCGTAGTGAGCAGGGCATCCGTCATTTTGCAGCCATAGTCTTCACCGCAGGTTTAAGGGTACATCTTCTAAAAGAGTTGGAAGCTGCTCCTGAAGGAACTTTAAATAACTGTGGGAGTTGAGCGTTGGCGACAAATCTATTCAGCTCAGTAGTGTTGTAGGATGTTTCTTGTGTGTAATAGAGGTTGGCTAAGTATAAACTTTCTCGATTGGGACTTGGCAATCAAAAGTCTCTAAGTTGTTTTTCCCCCAGTGAAAAAACTATATTTTCGATAAGAATAAGCCCTTCGTTGAATATATCATCATTGAAGTCAATATTAGGATTATTACTTTGCCGCCTCGTATTATGCAAAATGTCATCGTATAAATTTTTCCGAAATATATTCCACAATCCTATTGGATCCGAAGCTTCACAAAAAATTAGGATTATTGCAAATAGTTCTCTCATTTTGTTTGCGCTTGCAGAGATTGTTCCGTCTGATAAAGCATCTTTCCAGTGTGTATCGGCCTGAAGCAAATTTCGTGCTTGACATATGCACGATAAGTCGGTAAAACCGCTCCATCGATTTTCTTTAAATCGATAAAAGATGTGGGACCTCGAACAGAATGTAATACGAGTCTGAGATAGAAACGTTCCGAATAATTAGGATGTATTGTATAAACTCTTCCCAAAGCGGTATCTTGCTTAATCCCTGGGTAATTAGGTACATCTTGTCCACGTTTTCTTCGTTGCCACTTTTTATTCGTCCAAAAGTAATATGCTGGAATTTCGTTATAAAGCAAAGTTTTCGCGAAGCTATCAGTCGCACATAGTTTGAAAAACGCAGTAAGAGTTGTTTCCGGTGGATTCTGAATAACGTGGCTCATAGTATTTGGAGCAAAATAAACCCTTTGCCCATTCTCCAAATGTACAGCCAGATGTGTGACTGTTGGATAACGTTCGTGGATCGAAAATCCCAGTATTCTCGAAATTCCTTCAGAAGTGCTTAGATATCTCCCATTTAAGAAATTTTTTATTTCATCATGTCTATCC